TCATTTCTTCTGCGCAGAAAGGCACTATCAGAGAAGTATGAGGCTCTGCCACAGGACCTGTCCCAAGGATTCTGTTCAATTCAACAGGATGCTTAACAAAAACCTAAGAAAATCTTGCTGTCTACTAAATTCTATAGGGTTTTGCCTAAGGAAAATTAAAGGCATCTTTTTCCCAAGCTGTCTCATATATACATGACTATAAACAAGCAATGCAAGCTTGCTTGCTCTTTGAAAGGCAGCAGCTGTGTTGTTCCAAAAATCTCTCCTGAATGTAAACATATTAGCACTGTATAAACAGCTTGATTTAATAAGAAATGCAATACAATATTCCTGCTTTGTCTTTGGGAACACGATGTTGATGGCAGCAATAATTCAGAGGTGAATTATGGTATCTGCTGAAAAGAAAGAAAAAGAAAACTCTCCAGCTATAGTTGTGAATTAATTTCTTCCTCTTAGCTGAAAATGAGAAATGGCTATAATTTAGTTCTCATTTAAAAGTTGCTGTTGGCTAAACTCTAAAATCTTAATTGCTTCTTAATATTCTCTGCTTATTTTTCCTTTTGAAACTACAGTCTATAGCATTGTAGTGTTTAGATTAAAAATCAGAATGGAAAACAAACAGTAGAAGGTCACCAGTCACTCCTAAAGTCTGCTTTTTTTTTCTAAAATGACAGAAGTTAATGTGTATCAAAGTATTTTAGCTGATTTCCCAACTCTAGTCACCCTCCTGCACCTCTGTGAAAAAGAAAGTGGCACTGACCCTGGGTTTCCCTTAAAGTGTCAATACTCAGGACTTCTTCAACTGGCAACAAAATACAGTGAAAGTGCTAGAAAAGACATGTTTCAAGCCATATTATGGCTCAGCATGCTGTAGGAACTTGCCTTGTTGCAAAAAAACTGAAGTCACACTCAATCCCTAAATAGTTTGGAGGTCGCTACCAAACACACTCTGCAATTCTCAGAGCTCGTAGAAAAGGCTGTGAGAACAACAGTGGCAAAGACTGCAGACAATCCAAGTCAAATTTTAAACTGACCTTGAAGAACTGCAGAAGGATCTCAGGATCTGAGTCTGGGTATAAAATCACAGATGCAAAACAAATGCCCAGAAATGCAAAAATAACATGCTTGGGAAATTGCACCTTACAATGCATATGTTTTAATGGGCTCTAGATGAGCTAGTAGTGCTCCAGCAAAAGATCCTAAAATCCCAGTGAATAGTTCTCAGAAATACTCAGTGGTTGTCCCTACAGCACACAATTTCAGGAACCAGTACGAAAGGACTGAAAGCAGAAAAAGAAATACCATCATGCCACTGCAGAAGCGAATGGTGAATCTACATGTGGAGTAAAACAAGGTTCTGGTCTCCTCACCTTTTCTGTCTGCTAAGACTCAAATTCTCAATTCGGTGCTAAAAGAAATCAGTTTCAAGCACTAGAGGTCCTGGGAGCAACAGTCCCCTTCATCGTGCCCACGACAGCTCAAGGATCAGCCAGGCCAACTTTTCCTCAAAAGGAATCAAAGATGTACAGAAGCAAACTTAAATTACAGCCATCATTGTCTCTCCTGCCCAGGAAGCCCAACTGTCACCCAGCTCCAGCTAACTTTGTGGCTCCTGGTCATCCCGCGATGGTGCTCTCCGCATTGTTCTGGGATAAGAGGCAGTGCAATTTTTGCAGCTTCATTATGCTGACCTAGTTTATTTTCACTCTACCAACTTAAAATCACATAGCCCTCTTTGCACAGCAGTGCCATTAAAAGTACTGAATTCAGGAAACTTTAGTAGAAAGGTAATTCAGAGCTGCTGCTTGCCTGCAAGTTCCCATCCCTTTTCATTACTGAGATGGCCATCATGCTAAAAAGACGGAAGTGACCCCTTCTCTTCAACATCAATCATATTCTTTCGCCATTTGTCCAGGATCCACATGGAAAAGGAACTGAAAACAGCAAATTACCTCTGCAAATAAGGGAGTCTCGTTCAGAAATGGCACAGATCATTTCCAAATATATTCAATTACAAGAATTCTCTAATGAACACAGCATGGAAGCTCAACAGATAAAGAAAGGAAAAGCTTCATCAAACAGTGACTGCTTCCTATCGCTCTCCTTTTCAAATAAAGGGAACAGAAAATGAAGCTTCCTTACAACAAGACATCATCACAAAACTTATTTCATTGCTCTATCATGGAATGAGTTACAAAGGATCCAAACAGAGATAAACTCTTTGCCAAACCTTCACAAGCAACCTCCGTAACTCCTTATTTTGGTCCCTGGATAATAGGGCATCGATGCAATGCAAACAAGCAGAAGGCTTTGCTCTGCTTCATTGTTCTACTTCTGTCACCTCTGGTCTCAAATCATCTAATCCCACAAATGCTCAAAAACGCAAAAGTGAAAATATCATTTGTTTTACCCTCAAAATGTATTGCCAAAGGGTAGCTATGTCTCTTCTGCATTTTCTAGTTCTCTGGGTTTTGTTTTATAATGGTTTTTCTCATACCATAACAAAGAACTGCTGCGCAGGAAAAGACCCCTCAGTCCAGCACGCCTGTCCCCTTGAGGGTTATCCTTTCATAACAAGTGTTTCTCTGCTGTGCACTTCAATACCACGTTTCCCACACTGAAAAATCTGTCTTAAACTCATTGTCATGCCATTTGCTTTGATGGTGTTATTTAGCAAATTATTCCATATGTTGCCCATTACATTTTAAGCTAAGTATTTCTTCCTGAAAATCCAGATCACTGTTCCTTTCAAACTTGTAAATTAGACTCTGCGGTGTTTGAGGATCTCTTTTTTCCTTACTTTAAAACACTCACAGAGGTAAACACTTTATTTTTCCTAAGGAAAGGTAATCGCACTGAAAAGGGCACACAAAATGCTGTGTTGCCACTTCAGCAACATGGTCTGCACAACGTGAAATGTTACTGTGGACGATTTGTGTTCTAGTTGCTTGTTGATTTATCCTAAAACACATGTTGACTTTTTTTATACACTCTCTGTATTTGTTAAAAAATCCTCAGAACTATGAAGGTAGACACAGGAGATTATGTTGCAGCTAGTACACGTGTGCTCTCAAGTTTGTTTATTGTTTCTCAATTTGTTGCTTCATATTTATCAGAAAACTTTGACTGCTACATGACATACTTTCCATGTCTATATTAATTTTTAATCTCCACCTTTTTTTAGTATCAATTATACACAAAAAAATTGATCCACTGCTGTCAGGGCTATTAATGTCAATGCTCATAGTTTTACCAAAGCTACTGATGAATGTTAACCTCTCATGCATATTATGGAAAGCAGATAATAAACAATTGCTGTCCGTATGCAAAATAACAAACATTACTGGAAAAGTAATTTGGTTTCAGTTAAAGTCTTTGTACATGTATCTTCCTTGACTTCTGTGCTTGTTTGTTATTACGAAGCAAATAAAAATTTTATGAGGTGGATGGTTAGGAATTTTGAATATAAAAAGTATTTAACTTTAATTAACATATCTTAATTTTAGACTCCAGTAATATTATGATCTATAATACAAGCCAATATTTATCAAAAATTAGTCCCTGACTATTGGTCACTAAGCCAGCACCTTCCAACTTTAATATCTTCTCAGGGATGATATTGTTACTCTTTGAGCGAATTAAACACTAAGTTTGCAATTATTTCTCTTGATCCATTAGTGAAATTGCAGGAAATGGAAACGTTTTCCAAACAATGAGAGGTACCAGCATTCTTCTTGATAATAGCTGTTAGCAATTTATTTCAAAACCTTCCTTCCTTAGAAGAGCATTTTGTATCAACGCAAGATAAATATTACTAACCCCTCATTGCAGTGCTTCAGGATATACCATATCCTTCAAGGGCTTGCCTGCTGTGAATGGGACCAAGTTTAGTCCTTCAAATGAAGAAAATATATATTGAGGGACAGGACACTACAACGGGATCTTCAGAACCTTTCCAATTTCAGCTTTTGAGCACACATCACTGCAATTTCTTTCATTGTCTTACTGCAATGGTGTTAATCACTTGCAAAAGTTACTAGAAATGATTTTCACAAGACTATTGTCATCTATTTATTAATATTCTTTCAAATATTCCCAGCCTCAACAGTTTGGCCAATTGTCAGCAAAATGGGTGTACTGAAAAACAGCTTGGTAGTTTTTTAATTGATTCTGCAAATGTAATGATCAATGGACTGCTATTTCTCATCAAAGCTACTTTTCTGTGTCCCATCTAATCAGATTTTGAAATAATTCCCAAGTACCTTCTATGAGGCTAATCCCTGGTTAATTTTCACTACCAGACAAATGAGGTGTCTTTGGGTTCTGGTTCTGGCACAAGAAGGTGCTAGAGGTTTTAATTTACTCTAAATCAAATGGAGATGGATTTGTTGATGCTAATCCTAGCCTCCACCTCTGAACCAATGCCCATTGGTGTAAAGGACAGTATCTCTTTGTAAGAGGCAATCTTTACTTTCAAGACTTTGCAGGTTGCACTTCCGAACACTTCACCAATGCTAAAGAACTCCTACTCAGAGCATTGCTATGTAACGAGAAACAAGCTTATCCCCCTTTCTTGAAGTACAGTCAAAGGAAGAAAAGAACTGCTTAAGATCACACAGGAGGTTCTGTGGCAAAGCCACCCATGGAACCAAGTCCAGTCTCACTGGGTTTTTCTCCCACAACCACCTTTCCTGCAGGCCAAGACAAAGATACCTTTTTATAGCTATATGAGAGGGACTAATTGCGAAAATGTTTGTCAGCGTTACAGCTGGCTCTACCATTGCTACAGCTCTACCAAGCTAATTTTCATGACACAAAAATCAATATTTAAGACAGCTGAATAGTTAACCAACAGAGCTGTTCTAGCATCCAGAGAGTTACCTAATGCATCAATCACCGTAACATCTAATAAAATAAAAAACACAGGACCACATTAAAAAACACCACCTGAAATGCGTTTTAAATCATAATCAGTTTCCATCAAAAGGAAACAAGCTCACCTCCAGTAGACAAGCACAGCAATGAGAAGAATGAGGCACACGAAGGTCAGTGCTGAGACCACAATAAGCGGGATGATCCATTCCATTTTACCAGGAGAAGGTCTCGTGGCCATGCTGGAGCTGTTCTTGTCAGCTGCGTGTTAAACACATAGCAAAAACAATCACTAAATGGAAAGAGAATTACTGTATGGAACAATGTGTAAGCAAAACAAATAGCTTGTCTGTTTTACGTGGTATGAGTAAACAGAGCAAAGATCTTCTAATTGCTGGGTGGGACTCCATTTGTCTTTAGTCTGAGACATGAGAGCACAAAAGTATGGTGTTTATTGCCACATATGGCTTAGATTTTACTACTGCCTGTAATTACAGTCTCATAGACAACTTTAGGACTCTATCGTGCAAGCACCTATTATCAGATGTGGAGTACCCCCCACTGAGTCATTTCACCACGGTAACAAAGTAAACGCTTTGGTCGGTCATCAGCATTTGCAGATAAATGCACCCTGTTTCTCAACGCTAGAGGACAGCCCTGTTTGCAAAGCTCAGTGTAATACTTTGCTTCAGAAATCAATTTCTCTGTAACTATCTTAAAATAAAAAATCCTCAACATGTTGGGTGTCATGTCACATCATTTGCGGAATTGTCACAATCTGGTTAGTTACTGCATACGAAAGCACTTTTTAGCATATGGATTGTCAAGATGGATGGATGAATGAATGGATAGGATGTGTTGTAACTGACAGAAGAAATCATTATGCCACAGCTTTTGAACAAAATTAAAGTTGGTCAATATCCTGAGATCTGGCCGAGTAACTCCGTTTCACTTTTCGCAAGACATCTTGTTAAAATAACTGTATCATACATAAGATGAATATCTAGAGGTTCTGCAAGTACTGGAGCCAATGAGCATAGACACTGCATCAACATATTTCAAAAGACATCTAATTTGTGCAAATTCATGTAGACTTGATGAATAAATTGTTTTAGACAAAATGATAAACGAAAAATACAGAAGCGGATTCTGTATCTTGCTCATGTTTCCTAACAAACAGGCGGTAGTTGATCAATACCCGTCAACAGGACGTAATGGGAAAGGATTAGTGTAAACAGCTTCAGATTTGAAAAAGGATTGAAATGTACGCACTTGACTTCTACTTTTTAGCCTACGTGAGTCTTTCCTTACCAATGTGCTTCCTTGCCCTCCTTCAGTATTGTATTATCATATCTTCTGAAACTGCTGCAAATCCTACCAGAAGAACATAATTGCCTTTTCACCGTAGGCAGGCAAAACACAGATAATTGGAAGTCACCAGATGTCACATAATATGAAGTCATACTCTATTTTAATAGCATTTAGATTATACTCCTCCATAGGCAGGAGTAAAATTCAACTAACGTGGAAGTAAAGGTTAATTGTAAATGCTGTTGCCTGACTGCTGAAAACAGAGCAAGGCTGCAGGCTGCTGCAAGCCCAGCAAGAAATCTTTCTAGTTTTAAGAACTAGGCTGATGGAGGTAATGCCCTTTAGCAAGCAGCCTAAATGAGGTGCTAATCAGAGGGATGTTTGGGGGAAGTGAACGTGCACTGAGTATAGAACTGATCAAAAGAGAGATGAGTAGCCAGTTGTCTCCAACTTCACTAAGAAAGGCTACGGAGGTTACCAACAGTGCCACTTTGCGGAATAGGCACACAACGTTGTACCTCGAGCACGTGGTGAGCTTTCGTCTTCACAGCATACTAATAATATACAACATACCGTTTTTAAGACAGGTCTTTGATTTCCTTGACTAGCAAAGAATAAGGAAAAGAACAACCCCAAAACTAGAGCAAAAGCTTATTCTCTGTATTTGCCAAACTTGCAAAAATCATAAACCCCGAGGCATCGGCTTTTATCAGTGCATTTCAAATCATTTAACAGCATGAAAAAATTAAGCCTGTGAGGTAAGTGTTACTAATCAGAATGGTAAAAGGGACAAAGCAAAAAAACATGCAATGTAATAAAACTTAGTAGGAGAGCCAAACAGTCGCACCACCTTACATCCATTGGGGTGTTGCTTCATTTCTCTCCAAGGACATTATTCTGTTTAGTTTCACCTCCACATATTTCAACACAAAAACATATGTTTCTGTTTGCATGGGAAGAAAATTAAATTCCATTGTAAGCACAGCATGGACTGGAGTCCCAGTGCAAACTATTAAATTCTGCAGTGCTCACGATGCTCTTCTTACTCAGTCTACTGTGGAGAACAGACTTATCTGACCCTGCCAACTCCCTATACCACAAATGTGAGGATAAGAAAGTGTTGAGTATGCTGAGTGCCAGAATAGCAAACGCCATTGCCGCATGCTGATGGCTGGCCCCAAAATTCCAGTTGGGAATGCCCAACCAGTGATATGCTTCAGAAAAAAAGAGACAGTTCCTGTGCTGGCTTTGAAGAAAAAGTCTTAGGTGTTTTCCACTGCTTAAGTGTTGAGAGAGCTTAAACAAACGAATGCCAATAAAAATTGTACTAGAATGACAGCTGGGGCCAGAAGTACAGCAGTACAGCTGGAGTGCTGGCGCCTGTCTCTCGAGTGTCATGGCAGAAGACCCTAAGAAAAGGCAGCACACTGGGTAACTTGGAAAAAGGAAATACACACAAAAAAAGACAGATCTGGGGCTTTATAGCTTCCTGTTCTCCTACGTAACAAAATATTATAAAATAAAAAATAGTCAGCATTTCACTCTTTTCCAAAGCAAGAATGTTGAGCCTTGGTAGTGTCAACAGCATATCCTTGTAACGGTGCCCACCATACGCTGTACTTTGGGGGGCAGGGAAGCTTAAAAAATGGACCAGGAAACTCCATTTTTGCTAAGAAATGTAAACCGTTTCCAGTGGCATATGCCTCCGTTGAATTAATTCAGTTTGCCTTTTACTGGCTTGGAATTCATCCCAGTAGGAAGGAATAAAAATTATTACAGCATATCTGTTTCAGGAGGTCCCACATGATACAAGGCCCAGCACTGCTAAATCCACTCCTGCGTCTGGAAAAATCCATAACTCCTGTGCACCACCCATTCAGCTGTTCCATCCGGGCCCTGGACGGATAAGGCCCTGGCACAGTGATCATTAGAGGGCATTAGGCAGCGAGGGAGGCTTTGGCCGTGCGACTCTTGCACAAAGGTCAAGGCAAGAAAGAGGCATTCTACAGTTTGTGATATGTGCTGTTTTTCTGTGTATTCTTGGTAATTGGTTCCTGAGAATAGAAACACGCTTATTTCCCTTAAGTTACACTGCTTGCTATAATAAGCAACCATAGCTGTAATACATAACCTATCTACCTTTATCATCCATTGCACAAACCGCCAAGACAAAGTTCTGTTTGTTGTACCGTTACAGATACCGTCAACTACGACAATACCTGTGTCCTGCAGGCCAAAAGAAAACCCTCACGCTGAACTGCCTCAGATCATCCGGTCACTTAAAAGAAAGAATTCACCTGCTCATCTTTCCTTTGAGTAAATGAAATTATGGACTTATACAAAGGTATCAATTAATTCTGGAAAATAGTATCGGCCATATTATTAAACAATGAAAAGGCAAAACCATGATTTAAAAAAAAGTATTACCTTTGATACAAGCTCATGCCATTGTGCAGCTATTTCCTCCCTATTTCTTTAAAGGCGTTCCTGCAGTAGTCATACTTACAGGCTGTGCACAACTAAGCATAGCTTTTCACTGTTTTGTAAACAGATGCCAATCATATTTAATCCTGATGTCAGATATCTGAAATTCATACTGTTTGCAAACACCAAATAATTCAATCCTTTTATTTTCAAGCCATTCTGCCATTTGCTCCTGTAAGTTGCCATGCAAAATGGCTCAAGTGCCACATGAAAATACAGCTTAATAATCCTTGCCACGTATGGAGAAAGAAAGAATTACACAGATGTTTAATTATCTTAATGAGGTTATCCCCAAAAGGCTTTTGTGACCTCAGACCTGGCAAAGACTGTTCTAAAAACCAAAATTCAGTCTCTGCTAAAAGCATACACCAGGCTTGAAATTTAACCCTGCACATCATGATCTCTCTACAAAGCCCTCTCGTGGGAGGAACTCGGCAGAAGTGGGTGAATGCTGAGGGATAGGAGGACCTGGCTGAAGTTCGGATCAAGGGCCAAACCCACGTCTCTGTTCTCAGTCCCAGCTCATGACTCAGGCAAAAGCCCCAACCGAACGTCTATTACTTTGCTCACAACAGCCCATTCGTTATCTCCTGTCAAACACAAAGGATCTGTTTAACTCTCCGGCAAAACAAACCAAAATTCTGTGGGATAATATCTGCTCTAGCCTGATTAAACTGAATCATGCTGTTTTTCTTTTTTTTTGCCTCCTCTCTTTTTTTTTTTTTTTGGTAAAGCATCATTCTAATTGCTGTTTTTCTAATTTTCAGGTTTCAGAGTCGCGGACAATGCTGAGCAGCTGTGTGTGTAACAGTTGCAGATCAAAGGTACAATTAGTCTAATGTGGGCACCAAAACAGAGAAAAGGATGATCAGGAAAATGAAAGAGGAGAATGCAAGCAAGCGTTCAGTGACAGAAGAAAATCATTAGCGTTGGCTGATACCACCAGACAAGAAGAGGCCAATGCCATTTGGAAAATAATGACATGGCCTCAGGAGAGGTGTGTGTGTATGTGCGTGTGAAATAAGCACTAAAAGAAAATGAGCCTTGCTGTACTAATTGGCCTCGCACTTTCCCTGTAATTTCTCATGTGTTCCCTGTTCTCCTCTAATCATCCACACTCATGAGTACTTCCCCATTCAGTTATCTCTTTACAACTGCTAATTTGATGCTATATAATTAATTTTACAAGTGTACATTGTTATGAAACAATTTTCTACTCTTTAAAATGATTAAACTTTGTACTCACAAAAACATTTTTGAAACCTTGACAGCTTTTTAAAAACTGCTTTCCTGGAGAAAAGATGCATCCAAAAAAGTTTCTGCCCTCTATGGGACATAGTAAGCAGCAGGGGTTCTTTCTGCTCACTCTGGAAGTGGCCTTCACCCACTTTTAACTGTCCTGACGCTCAGGAATGCTTTCAGATACTTCTGGCAATGTCCTCTTGGCTTCGCTGGTCGTTGTCTTGATTTCAAGTTTACCTTGTTATGGAAAACCTTTAAGGCCCTTTCTCATAGGAAGAGGTCTTGCTTATGTCCGGAGTTTCACTGAATTCAATGAAACCTTGCATGAGCTAGGTCAGGTCTGTATGAATTGCCAATTTCCATATTACTGTGGAAAACAATTAAGCTGAAGCAACTAGTCTAAGGCTTCATGCTAGTGCTTGACTGATGGGCCAATTCACCAGCTGTGGGTTTTGCTGACATGTGTCTTCGGTAACCTGGATCCAGCCTGGAGGAAAGCTCCTTCTCCTGCATTCCCAAGAGTCTTCTCACAGGGGTAGCACTCCCAACAGGCCTGCCAGGCCTTCTCAGACACATCTAGTAAAATATTTGGGCAAATTCTGGGTTAGGTAGACCTCAGCTACTGCAGGTAGTGGGGTGCAGAAGCAGGGTGACACAAGATGCAAAGAAAAGAAGGACTTGCCTGAAGAGACTTTGAAGGACAAGGTCCTCACACCTGGTACAAAGAAATTCAGACTGAAAGCCTCTGTCCCAAAGCCAATAAAAAACATCTCAAAATGTTCTTAGAGTTGAAAAACACTATCCCTTCCCAATGCGTGGACAGGGAGTCATCAGGTTTGTGACCAACCTAACTTCTTCCACCTGGAGGTCAAGGACAGGGAATGAACCTCTACCCAAAGGAAAATGGCACAAATGGGTCCCCCTTCATCTCTGAGCAGCCATTCCCAGCCCTTTTGCTGCTGAGTGTCCTCTTCAGTACACTGAGGGGCCTGGGAGAGGCTTGTCTGGGAAGCTGAAAATATAGTACAGTTCCTTCTCCTCACCCCAGGTATGTCACCAGAGGTTTAACTAAGATTTAACTAAAGTTAATTCGGGTGAAACAGGCAACTCTTTCACTTATCTTTTCCCCCAGCTAACATGTGCTGGTTATTTCAGATGTCATTTCCTACACGTGGAAGCCATTTTTGTAAGAGGCAGTGATCTTAGTAAGTTATCCTCCCTCCATATATAAGCATGGAAAACTTAATTTGCAGAGTCCTTTCAAGACTGATCATCTTTGCGTGCAGTCTTCAGGCAGGGTCACTTCAAGCCTCCAAGCCTGCAAGCGAGCAGAGCTCTTAAAAGAGGCTGTCTAGTAGGAGGCAAAGCTGTATTGAACCACTTTCAGTGATAGTTCTCTGCATGCTAAAAAGAGACAGAAATCACTACAGACTAAGGGGATACAATTCACAATAACCAGTAAGTACTTCTTAGCAATATTAACAATATTTCCCCGTCTCATTGATTTTCATCTTTTTCATCTTAACTTCACCACGGAATAAAAACAATCTAAAACCAATCCCTTTGTCATGAGCTAAGAAACAAGACCAACTACCCATCTTTCCTTCAGTTTATTTGGCTGAGAATAAGCCACGAGGCCCTTTCTAGGTCGTATATAAGGGACATTGTACTCGGGCCATCCAAGAAACTAGCACATGAGAAATGGAAGCAGAAGGAAGGAAGATCCGAAGACAATTATTTCAGAGCCAGGTTTACCCAGGCAGACTGAATTGCTGGGGTTTGAACCTAAATGGTGCTGAATGCTTACTCCCAACACTGCAAAGCACGGCTAGGACAAGTTCCCTCCTTCCTGATAAAAAGGTGATTAGGGCAAGTGGCATGTTGAAAGCTGCCTGACAGGCATCTCAGACCATATTCAGTGGGAGCACTGGACTTTGAAGAAGATTTCCAGTTGAGGAGTAAGAAAAATAGCGGTGTATTTTAAAAAACATCAGCACAACCTGGTGCAGGTTTCTTGGCTTCCGCATTAATCTGTTCTCTTACAGAACAGTTATGATTCACAGCATTACAGTCAGGTCAGCATTTCTGTAACAAATGTTATTAAAGATTGGATTTAGCTTTGTTTTTTAAATTGGTTCTGAGCTATAACTGAGTGCACAATGTCTGCATTTTTGTGTTTATAAATGCAGGGAAAAATAAATATGTAAGGTTTTTTCACAGTACTCTAACTCTAGAGCAGTTTTGATGGAAAAACAATTACAAAACAGCCTCTAGATTAACAAAATAAACAATAGCAGTAAAAAAAAAACCCACTATCTTATAAATGCTGTGTAATCACTCAGATAAATGTGTCGCCATATCTAAATCTCAGTCCTTACTCTGCAAATAAATCCATATGCATGTACTCCACTTGCTCCTTGCAGTTGTAAGATCTGTTTTCCTCACCAGTGCTTGGAGGTCCTCAAGCAGAAACATGGGTACTGGACTTTCTGTGCAGAGAGTTGGGAGCACCATGAGATACCTGGTTGCATAGGCCTGTGCAGCAAATCCTGACCACACAGGGCTTGGTGCACATGCAGATCACCTGGGCATGCTTCCAAAAGGTCGTATTTGCTGTGTACATACTATGGAGTTGATACATACATCCAGAGTTGGCGCGCTGGTAATTCTCATCAGGACAAACATAGAAAATACGTGAACTCTGCCTGGTGTATTGGGTTTGCGTGACAAGGTTTTGGTAGCGGGGGGGCTACAGGGGTGGCTTCTGTGAGAAGCTGCTAGAAGCTTCCCCTGTGTCAGATAGACCCAATGCCACCGGCTTCAAGATGGACCCATTGCTGGCCAAGGCCAAGCCCATCAGTGACGGTGGTAGCACCTCTGGGATAATGTATTTAAGATGGGGGAAAAAAACCTGTGCAACAGCAATTGCAGCCAGAGAGAGGAGTGAGAATATGTGAGAGAAACAACTCTGCAGACACCAAGGTCAGTGAAGGAGGGGGAGGAAGAGGTGCTCCAGGTGTCAGAGCAGAGATTCCCCTGCAGCCCCTGGTGAAGACCATGGTGAGGCAGGCTGTCCCCCTGCAGCCCATGGAGGTTAACGGTGGAGCAGATATCCACCTGCAGCCCGTGGAGGACCCCATGCCGGAGCAGGTGGATGCCCAAAGGAGGCTGTGACCCCATGGGAAGCCCGTGCTGGAGTAGGCTCCTGGCAGGACCTGTGGACCTGTGGAGAGAGGAGCCCACGCTGGAGCAGGTTTGCTGGC